CTTTGCGTTCGCCGCGCAGTCGGTGCTTGCGCCAATGGCCGGCTTCAGCGTCGTGTGGAACATTGTCTTGGCGCCGTACATCCTCAAGGAAACGCTGTCGCCGCAGGTGCTGCACGGGTCGCTCCTCATCATCATCGGGTGCGCGATCGTCGGCCTCTCGGGCAGCCACATTTCGCCGACGCACACGCCGGAAGAACTCTTCTCGCTCTTTAGCGAGCTCGCGTTCATCGTCTACGCCATCATTTCGATCGTGCTCATGATCATGGTACGCCGTGCGACGATTCATGCGTATCAAGGATCTCATTGGATACGTATCCTAGCTGGCCTACGTCATCCAAACGTACCCGGCGCACAGCTCGTGGCGCCGCTTTGCATTTGGCGCGCTCTCGGGCCTCATTGGCGGCAACCTCTTCTTCACCAAGGTAACACAGATGCACGACACCAACATCTTCACGCATCTTCGTCACTGGTCGTGTAGACGGCGGTCGAACTCATTGGGAAGGGCAGCGAGATATGGGCGTGTACCGAGACGTACTTTATCGTGGTGTTTGCACTGGGCTGCCCTGCGCTTGGCATTTACGTTCTAAACCTGGGCCTGAAAGAGTACGATGCGTTGCACATCGTTGCTATCTACGAGTCGTTCCTGATCCTCTGCGGTACATGCATCAGTACTGATATGCAATGCCTTAGTTCCTGTGTAGGTTCAATCTCGGGCGTCATCTTCTTCCACGAAGACGAAGGCATGCAAGAGTGGTGGCAGCAGGTGCTGTACCCGATCAGCATCGTCACCACGATCGCAGGTGTCGTGGTTCTCTCCAAGCAGTCGAGCCCGGACAGCCCGATTGGCGAGACGGCGCCTCTCATGCACAGCGCCAAGCCCGTCAAGCTTGTCGTCCAGTCCGTCTAGATAGTACAGCATAGTACGTACAGATAAGCACGCCAAACGAACCATCACATCTTTCACGCTGCCTTGATGCTTCCGCACCCGAAAATCCCAGTCCCATGGCGCTCGACTGGGCCACGTAGACAGGGTAGGAAGGCTCAGAACCAAGTCGATGGCGATTGCTGGATCGTGCAAAGCTGCGACGGGCTCCAAACCGCGGCGTATGCGTCTGAGTCACGACCTCGCGCCTGATCCGGGGCGCGTGGGATGTCTGCCTCGTCTCGACGGCAACAAATAGATACTCCCGCAAGCCGTCTGCTTTCACTTGGCTACTCGTGGTCGGTTCTCTCACGAGATTCCGTCATGCGGCTCAGATTGGTTCAACGTGAACCGAAGCGTCGATTTTCGAGCCCAAGTAGCCATCAGCGTTCTGTCGTGTGTGGTACAACGACGCTTTTCTAGATCACGACCTAGGTCGTGGCTATCAGAAAATCTTTGTTCAGCTTGATCACACGTGATGGTCTTCCGCGACCACCCTCAAATATATGTCGGTCACTCTTGGTGTTCGCGTACTGCCGCGATAGGATGGTGCCTTTCACCGTCCTCACGTGATGGTCGCGGCGTTGAAGACAGATCCATCGCCTGCGAGGAGCTTCGTCCGTCAAGCGCTCTCGGTGTGTGCGCCGGTTCGCTGTACAAGCCACAGCATTTTATTCTGTC